TTTTTTTTTTTTTTTTTTTTTTTCCAGTCTGCTTTTGAGCTAAAGTCCACATGTAATTACCCACTTTATCGCAGATGTGAAATCAGTGTTGAAATTGAGGAAAAACTGTGTGAATAAAGCTAAAATCTGTGGAGTCAGAGGGGGAGAGCGTTTTTTTCCTTTTTTTTTTTTTTTTTTTTTTTTTCTACTGAGAATGAAACCCTGCTTTGTAATGCAAACTGTTCCCACCCGGGCCTGAAAAGCCATCTTCTCACCTGCCTTATCTGTAACCGTTCACGTGACCGAGTGCTCCCAGCAGAGAGTGTTCGCTGTTAAATTATTGACAATAGGCCATTCGCTGAGTATATGAGTTATTGCTTGTAAATAGAATTTTAAAAAGGTGCAAACACTATGAATAATTGCATTGAAGATGAAGTCTCTTGTTTTCTGTTTTACCCTCCCGCGCAAGCAGTTCTGTTCTTGTGTGCGACCAGTAACCTTAATTTACTGTGTAAAGATGGTTACATATTTTAGCTTTGTTTGTCAGAGACCCAAATATAGAATGCTTGTTTACTTATTGTATAATCTTAAACGTGAACTTCCAATTTAAGTGTATTATACAAACTCATTTCTTCCTATAACAATGTCTTGTACAATGCTTTCAAAGTTATTGCTCGGTTTAAAGAAAAATGACAAAAAAAATATTGTAGGGACAGTACAATAATCCATTCTTTCTTTGATCCATTTTAAGTTTTTCTGTTGTTTTTTCCCCTTTATTTAACTGTTTATTTCCTCTGGCTGATGTGTCATTGTTTCCCCTCTGTGAAAATGGTCACATTATGTTCCTGGTGTGGAAACGTGCGCAGCATTTTTCAGCGAATCGCGGCTCCTCGTCTAGCTAAAGATGTTAACTAATCCATGTTTCTGGCATGTGCACGACTTTGTGCTTATAGGCTTAACCTGAACTTTTTGTTTTTCTGTTTGTTCGTTTTTTTTTTTCCTTTCTTTTTGTATTTTTTTGTTCGTTCCGCTTCAAATAGAAATGTCTATTTATGAATTTTGCTTGTAGTTTTTCACAAATAAAACTGTCAAAGGTATCCCCTCCCACTGGTCTCCTTATTGATCCTGATCCTGTCCCACGTGTTTTTCGGACCCCAAGCAGGTTCGGATTCTCCTTTTGCTTTGCTCCCAACTGGCTTAGAAAATATGTTCTCCGCCTCGAAATCTGTCTAGGAAATACATTTACCCCATTACTACATTTTCTTGCTGTCGGTGAATGTATTAGGTTATATAATCTCCTAATTTCCTCCTCCAAAAGAGGTCGGCTGTGCGTTGAGCGTTGTCTGTGTTACATGTGGGGTCAGGACTCAGTTTGACAGAGGTAAATGTAAAAGACAGGAAGTGGAATAATCATCAAGTTTTTTTTTTTTTTTTTTTGGTGCTTCGGCAGTCACACTTGGTGCACTTTGCAACAGAACCAGACACCTTCCTTTTCTGTGTCTAGAAACCATGGAAACACCCGTTCTAAAGAGAAATAAAAAAAAAGGCGAGTAGATGAATCTGAGGTTTGTAGAATATTTCACCGTCTAAATAATGTGTTTTCTCTCTTATTACTGATACCATTTCCTGGGCTTTGTAAAAGCTTAATTGTCTCACGCCTTTTTTCTCATTCTTCAGGTTTGGAAACGTTGCCACATTCCAGATTTTGTCATCGTAGCTTCAAGCAGAAAGTTTATGTCACAAATACGGAAATAATTCTGAAATAATACCTTCTGAAATTATATTGCTGATTGTCTTCTCGTCCTTTTTCCCCCCCATTTTTCCTTTATTCCTGAAGGGTTTCTGCTTAGTTTTTCAGGCTTTGACGGGGCATGTCGGCTGCTGATTGCAAAAGCTTCCAAATCTTTCACATCCTTATGCCGATTTCAGCAAAGCAAACCATTCATCGCTTGGTTTAAAGCCAAGTATTAGCCACGTATTTTATCTCTCTGTATATATACACCAGCGAAAAGGTCATAGTCGTAGTCAGCACGCTGTTCGCGTTATTTTCTTTAAATACAAAACCAGCATCTCACATTTGTCTCCCCGTGAGTTCCAAGTTTGTTTTCTCTCTCTTTCTCGTCTCACAGCTACTTTCCTTAAAAAAACACCTCTACTTAAGTCTGCGATATGTGCTTCGCTGTGGGCAAAGAACAGGGAGAGTGTAAGGTTAGTTATTTAAAACTTGGCGTTTCTGAATAGAAAAAAATTTTACTGCATAAAAAGGTAATACTCCAATGTGCTCTTTGCCTTGAAACTGTACGAAAACAAATTTAAATGAGTAAATGATCTTCATTTTCAATCCATGCCTGACCAGGGTACTGTGGAAAAGTCACAAAATCTTAATTTGGTTATATTTTGTCTCTAAAGAGTTTCTTATAACCTTATAAAGCAGTTTTGAGGAGGTGTTCCCCAGGGCTTTGTTCGGGTTAAAAAGTCTCCTTTTTCATTCAGCTTCATGGACAGAATTGCACAAATCCTGACTTCTATTTAGCCCGTCAACTTTGAAAGGAGTAGAAAACTCAACAAGCGTAGCTCTCAAACCGATTTTTCACATTTTGGAGTGAAAACGACCCTGTTTGCACCGAGGCCTTCAGGGTTTTTTTTATGCTACCATTCAACTTCTTACTCTTTTTCTCGACTCTGCGTCAGCCTGAAAGAGAACAGCAGACAAAATCCTGTCACTTTTCTTCCTTATTCGTCCTTATTCAGCCTCGTAACAGATGCTGGATTCCGCCCATCTGCCGGCAAAAAAAGCTCCACAGCGTGACCACGTCCATCTGCCATGGTAAGAAACTACACACTTTTACGCGTAAAGCAAATCAAGACACCTGAAGCAGAACGCTGGCAGTCTCTAGTCCCCCCCCCTACACACACACACACACATACACACACACACCGAAAGCAGGAGGTGAAGTGAGCCCTACTTCCTCTCCGACCACAGACTCTGTGATGTTTACAGTGGTGCGTGGAGGAAGATTGAGCGTTTTTTGTGGCGGTCTAACACCATCGGCAGCTTGTGCTCTCTGGGGTTTGCTCTTATTACCGAGCGGCAGTCATAAAGAGGGAGAAAACGACCCAAATTCTCGCTCGCGACATGATTTCATCTGTACAGAACTGCTCTCCTTTTGTCAGACATTGCAAAAAAATCAGATTTCCCCATTTTGCATTTCAAATTTAAATGTTCCACTGTGCTAAAAAAGTTTAACACGGGATCTTATTCTTAATCACATCATATCTCATACGGCTACATTAATTTCCAGAATCGTAATTAACTTTCGGGGCCCAGATCGC